CAAATCTGAGTAAACAGCACTGACTTTGATGGACCAGTGATCTGATTCAGTATGAGGCTGTATGATGTCTGCATGTGAAATTCTATAGAGGCAAGACTAGAGATGTAAAATTTCTGGAAATTTAAAAACCATTAAATACATGCAATACTTGTTGTCCTGTCAAACCTAAACTAATTTTACTGCTTTAACAACAGACACTTCATAGATCACTTACTTAGCATATAAAATTGCAGTTTTTGAAATATTTACAGAATTTAAAAGTGATAAATGGTTTAGTTTTCTGCAAGCAAAACTGCAAATATACCTAGTGCTTAAGAGAAAAACTGCAAGCTGGTATACCCTATGCTAGTGTAGTACATATACCTTAATTTTTGGTCAGAAAAAAGGATAACAATAGTGGTCAGTTTGGTGTAGTGGTTAAGTGTCTGGACTCTTTAATGTGGGATTCCCCACTCCTCCACTTGCACCTGCTGATGTGACCTTGGGTCAGTCACAAGCTCTGGCACAGCTGTCCTTGAAAAAGCGCAGTTTGTGTCAGAGTTCTCTCAGCCCCACCCACCTCACAGGGTGTCTGTTGTGGGGAGGGGAAGGGAAAGGAGTTTGTAAGCCGCTCTGAGACTCCAAGTGAAGGGCGGGGTATAAATCCAATCTCTTCTTCTTCTTCTTCTTCAATAATAGTATCTGCACAGCTAGATGTAGTTCCAGCCAGATACTGTCTTCTTCCCTCTTTAGCTAGAGCTCAGTTCTCATCAGTGAGACTTTCAGAGTTTTCTGCTGAGACTTTGGTGCTGTTTCTGCCCCACGTCCTTCTGATATTTTTTTCCTCCAGCAAGGTAAGGGCAATACGCTACCTGATACCCAGTCTATGGGTATATGTGTCATAGTGTGAGGAAGAGGGGAAAAGGTCAACCACAAGAGACTTGTCAGGTCGAAAGGGACCCAGAAGCCCTGTGTCCTGCCCTGCATATGCTGCCCTCATGAAGATCAGGTATTCTTCTGGGTGCAGAAATACATCTTGTATTTAAGAGTTGTATATGTCTGCAACAAGTCCACCTTGTCTTTAAAAGTGTTTAATTCATTCTAAGTGAGAAAGTATTTCATAGGAATTTTCCACCAGTAAAACTGGGGGGAAAGGCCACCCGGGGCGGGGGGGGGGAGTGCCCTGGTTTCCCCCCAGTTTTTTTCCAGTTTTGTTCTGGGCCTTCACATCTCTAGGCAAGACTTGAATAAGTTAGCAACATGTTTAAGTTGACTGATGCTGCTTATCTGTACCAAAGTAAATCTGCTGCTGTCCTTTGACAGGGGGTGTGAGGAGTTTTCCTTCAAACCTCTTTTTACTAAGAGCAATTGGAATTTGAAATAATAGCTGAAACATCAAGTAACATGTGTCTCCTCTCCCCATGAGGAAGAATTTGCCTAGAAATAGCTTTGCTTCCCTCAGATCAGTGAGTGTTTTTTGCGCTAAACTGCATTATAGTGACTTTTCAAAGAAAGCTGTACAAAGCTTGAGCCAGTCTTGCATATATAAATATCAAAAGCAATAATTGGGAAAGCTCCAAAACAAACTGACTTGTGCTGACTTAAGTGAAAGTTTTAAAGGGTTCCCATAAAGGGGGTGAGTTGCGGGATAGCAGGAAAGTAAACTTTTATATGTAGCCATGATTAAGAATGGTGGCTCAATTTCTTCCTCAGATAAGAGATATTGCTTAGGTGAGCTTTATGCTTTATTTAACCCATATGCTTGGGTTGTTCCCCAGAGTAGCTTCATCTTCCATCTCTCTCTTTTCTGCAGTACTTCTGAAATCTTTTCAGTCTTGTCCCCAACCTAAGTGAAGGGAAAAGTATGTGTACCTGCTCACATTCATCCCTCTCTTGCTTTGTTGTCCACACACACACACTCACACTCAAGACAGAATTTAGATTATAAGCTCTTTGGAACATGGATTTGTGTCTTACTTTGTGTTCCTTTTCAGTGTGTCATGGGCAGAGAAGGCTCTATATTAATAACCACCAAAATGCTTATATAATATTAAGGGTCTGTTTGGGAACACCACTGGTATCGGCAGGGGGAGGTTAAACCTGCTCCCTTCCTAATGTCTTTAGACACTCAGAATCATGCCTTTTCATATTTATACAGCCATTCTCCTTGATCTATGTTTCTACAGCCTGCGCCTCTTGGTCACAATAGAACATGACAGAATACTGGGTACTGGCTATAGATAATACATTTGGCTAAGCAACTTAGCTAGAGTCCCTTGTACACTGAAGAATGATGTAGAGCAGGGGTGGCCAAACTGCGGCTTTGGAGCCACATGCGGCTCTTTCACACATATTGTGTGGCTCCCAGCAGGGTGGCTGGGGAAGCGAAGGGGAGGCATGCCTCCCTGATTGGTCTTCCCTTCCCCAGCTAGTGTTCCCCTCCCTGGGTAGGCTTGAGGTGGGGGGGAGCAGAGAAAGAAAGCAAACTTTAAATGCATTCTCAAAGCCCCCCCTCCCTGCCAGCTGGCTTGGAGAACTTTTGAAAACCCTCCCCCGGGCAAGACCAGCCAGGGGGGGGGGGGGGGCTTGGAGGATGCATTTAAAGTTAAAGTTGCTTTCTTTCCACCTCTCCCTTCCCCCATCTATTTGCTTTCTTTGTTTCTCTCTCTCTCTCCATCTCTTTCATTCTTTCCACCTTTCTCTCGCTCTCTCTTGTAGACAAATAAATATAATTAGCAAACAAATAAAATTGGACAAATAAATACCATTATCAGTATCTGTTTTTATCCCATTGAATGTTAATTAAAAGCAAATTTGCATATTTTTCAATGAAACGTGTGTGTAATATTTGTTCATGCCTTGCAGCTCTCAAACCTCTGACGTTTATTCTATGTAGCTCTTATGTTAAGCAAGTTTGGCCACCCCTGATGTAGAGTGATGCTTCTGCTAGGGGTGCCGTTAAGCCCATTTGGACCCACTTCTGAGGGTTATGTCTCTAATGTAAAATAGCAGGACTTTTCTTATTGCTTGTCTTTCAGTGTTTGTAACTGAATCATAATTGTCTAGAGCTTCATGAAGACTTCAACCCTGTGCAACTCTAATACTGCCAATCTCTTGGCCATGGTTAATTAGGGTCTCCAAACTTTGGCTAACATTAACCAAGGTTAGCTGTGGTAGAGATGCAATGTCTAGAAGGGAAAGGAGAAGAGGTTGTAAATGGGAGGGGGTGTTCGCGGTCCACTTTCGTTCGGTCATCGCTGATGAACAGATCAGTAGAATTGTGTTCTGTTGAGCCTTCACCTCTCCAATAAATTGAGTGGTGTTCAGGATAAAATGAAATGAAAGATATGTAAACGATAGTCAATAAAAAGTGTTGGGCTTCGGATCTTTCAGAATGTATTATGTTTGGAGACAATAGGACAAGGATACCACTTAAACTAAAAAGGTAAAGGTTCCCTTGCTCGAAAGCCAGTCGAATCCGACTCTAGGGTTGCGGTGCTCATCTCCGTTTCAAAGCCGAAGAGCCAGCGCTGTCCAAAGACATTTCCGTGGTCATGTGGCCGGCATGACTAAACACCAAGGCGCACGGAACGCTGTTACCTTCCCACCAAAGTGGTACCTATTTATCTACTTGCAATGTCTTGCTTTCGAACTGCTAGGTTGGCAGGAGCTGGAACTAGAGATGGGAGCTCACTCCATCATGCGGCACCCAGGTCTCGAACTGCTGAACTACTGACCTTCCACAGCCTACAGTTCAGCATCTTAACCACTTGAGCCACCGCAGCTCCTACCACTTAAACTAGAGGGGGATTTATGCTCTTTTCTCCCCCCCCCCATAACACAACAATATATCAGTTAATGTGTAATCCACCTTGAGCGTCAGAGAGAAAGGCGGGCTGTAACATAAATAAATTAATGTTACCATTATACACATATGTGTATTTGATTATTGGAGTGAATTCTTATGTATCAGGCTGAAAGTTTCTGGGTCAGTTAGGCTGTACCTTCATGAGCTCTTAACTTGGTGTTGGTAACCCCTTCATTTCGGGGGGGTACGCGGGGGAACGCAGTTCCCCCGGGTGAGGTGCAGGGGGGGGCACATGACGAAGCCCCGCCCCCTGCTTCCGGCCACCCTGCTTCCAGCCCTCATTCAGCCAGGAGGAGGCAGGAGAAGAGGGAGGGTAAGTTGCTTCCTCCCCGCCTCTCCCCACCCCTGCCTGCCTGGGGCCAGGGAGGGCCTTGGCGGGGCTTCCTCGCACTCCCGCTGGCCTTGCAGGTCCACCGCCGGGCCCCTGATGTCAGGGGGTGTGGCATATGCTAATGAGTTATGCTAATGAGTTCCCCTAGCTCTTTTTCTACGAAATGACCCCTGCAACAAACCCTCCATTTTTGTTTATGTGATAATGAAAGTATAGCTTAGTGACTGTCCTCTGGAAGAAGCAAGGCTGTTACTCAGAGAGAGAGAGAGAGATTCTTGTTAATATGAACAGGATTTCTGAAATGTGATGGTAACAAAAAGAATGTATTTCAGTAATCAAGCAAAGCTATAAACATGGCACCGCTAAACTTGTTTGTGTTTTTACTGTGCATAAGTAACTTCCAGTGCACAGTCACTGATCTGAAGAAACTGAAATCTCTCTCTTTCTGGCACCTATCACTTAACCGTTTTTCATACTGCAAGCAAAATGACTGTCAGCAAGACTGGTGAGTGGTGGTCTTGTATATCAACAGCAAAGATCATGTAGCATTTTTAAAACAACAACATCAAGCTTAGGTTTGCTGTGTGTCAATAGGCTGTGGCCCAAGGTTGCATCTCAAAGCTACACATAGGAGCTTAGTCTGAGAGTTGGGGGGTGAGAGAATGATTTAAATGTGAAGTTAATTTTGGTCTGGTTTTAGATAACATATAAACTTGGTGGGTTCCCTCCACCCTCCATTTTATCTAGTAGTTATCAACAAACTGTTTTACTACTTCGATCCTTCAATCTGACATGTATTTCTCCACCCATCATAAAATACAGGAATATTCTGAAGACAGTAACTCCGAACCGAATGTAGATTTGGAGAATCAGTACTACAACTCCAAAGCGCTAAAGGAGGATGACCCCAAAGCTGCGCTGAGCAGCTTTCAGAAGGTTCTAAACTTTCACTTTTCTTGATGCATGTTTTCCATTTAAAATGTTCTAATTTTATTGTGCTCATGCTACCAGAACATTGGTTGGTTAAGAGAGTAGGGTGTGTTAGGTTTGCAACAAGTATGAGTGTTCTCTCTGATCAATGAATTATTGTGGTTTTGGTTTTTGATCTTCTTTGGGAAATGTTTCAGAGGTATTACTGTATTTAGTTGGCTCCAATAGGTTGCATGACATTTTGTGAACAACCTTGCCAAATATTAATAATGCTCCTAATACATTTGCTGGTCATATGAATTTTAAGTTTTTAAAAGCACACAGCTCAATGTTAGCCAAAACAGAAGATTTACAGAAAGGGGAAAGTAGTACATTTGGTTTCTTTTTGCAATGTCATTTGGGTTTTAAATATTGAAGAATAGTTTTGTTTCATAATATAATCTAGATTGTTTTGCTTCAGAATTTTTGAATTGGTGACTTTGCAGAAACAATTTAAAAGTTAGATTTGACAGGATCTTAGCATTTTTGTGACAAAGTAATGTGACAAGTTCTAGAAGCATCTGTTTATTGAATGTGTTTGTGTAAGATCCATAATACATTTTATGGACTGAAAGAGTTGTTCGTGGAAAGGCTTTGACCATCAGCAAATTAGATCATCCAGGGTATCTGTTGGAATGAAACCATCGCAAAACCATTTTCAGGCTCCCTTGATATGTTATTTAATGTTCTGCAGCATAGCTTTTTGGACACATTAAGATGTAGAAAAGCAATTCTTTTGCATTCTCTGATTTTAGGTTTTGGAGCTTGAGGGTGAAAAGGGAGAATGGGGATTTAAAGCACTGAAACAGATGATAAAAATAAATTTCAAACTGGTAAGATACTTTACTGTGTTTATCCTTGCTAATTTTTTTTAATTTGCTGATATGTAAACCCATAGGTAAATCCCAAGCATACCTTGGCTTCTCAAATGCTGTCTAATGTCAGTTCTTTGCACAGTTACCTCCATTCTGAGTGCACTGGAATAAGTGAATCAAGACTGGAGTAACTGCATACAGCTGCACCGTAAATTGTTATTTTTACAAAGATACAATGTAATTAGAGCCCTAAAATGAAGCAAAAGCACTTGCATCAATGCATCAGTGCATGTGAGAGGTTTCCAAAAAGCCACTTATTGTTCTTAGAAAAGGGCTCATGTATAAAAGAAGATGATGCTTCCTGTAGCTTTGAGCTGTAATGGCACCAGAACTGATACAGCCAGACCATTGTGGCAGGAAAAAATGCAGCTTTATAGCTGAAGGTCCAGTTTTGCATGTTGTTCCCAAGCCACCTAGGAGGCTGTTAATTAAAATAATTTGCAATTAAAGACACCCAGTTAATGCTAAGCATTTGAAGATAACTGTTAGGAAAATATGTTTATGTGTCAGCAGAATCATGCTTTTAAGTGCTGTCTGGAAAATACCACCTGTCTTATACATGTTGATATAATGCTTGTACATAGAGCATGTTTTCAACTTCTATAAGTACCAAATATAGGGACTAAGGTAAATTGTACCACCAGTCTCTACAGCAAAAGAGAATATTTATATGCTATAAAGTCATGCCCTTCTATAAACTTTTCTAATTCTCAAAAGGAAGCCAACTTAGATTTAACATAACATGAACAATATACATTTATTAATGCAGTTTTAACATGTTGCATACTGCAGCAAAACATTCACCTTTTGAGGAATTGTTTTTGAATGTCACTGATTAGACTCAACTCCCACTTTGAAATGCTTCATTGTTATAAATTATAAACACTTGTTATTTTTTCTGCCGACAGACTAACTTTCCTGAAATGATGAACAGATATAAACAATTATTGACCTATATACGGAGTGCAGTTACAAGGAATTATTCTGAAAAGTCCATCAATTCTATTCTCGATTATATCTCCACTTCCAAGCAGGTTAGATTATCCTTCTTTTAAAGTGTTCCCCCCCCCCCGAAAAAAATGGGGTGGCCCAAATGGTTTATATACAGATATGTCTTTGATGATAATTGTTATGTTAATATATGGCATTCAGGGAGTAATCTTCCATTGATCAGGCTGCTTTAGAAAATATAGATACACTCGAGAAGTGTTCGTCTCGTCCTGTTCCTGTGCTGTGCATCTTGTTGGCACCTGTTGGAAACAAGAATTAAATAACATCATGAAAAGTTGAATTTTCTACTGAACATCTTTTGTATATTTCAGTGAACTTTAGCAGCAATCTTTTTGTATTCATTGCTTTAGAAAATAGCCAGCCTTACAAAATTCATGTCCTCAGCAAAACAAACCAGAAGAGCATTGTGGGATTTATGATCTATGACTGCAAATGCAGAGGGGGAAACTTGCTTTTCAGTCTTCATGAAATAAGCTTTAATATGTGGAAATCCACAGTGGCTGGAATTCACATGTGGAGTTGGCATCCACACATCACTAGATACTGCACTGTTGTTGCAGTATAGCAATTATCTCTTCTGAGTTGTATCTCTTCTGAACTAAGCCTCAAGATAAGGGAGAAAATCTGAGATTTTAAATAATTATTTCAGCCGGTTTTGATCCTGTAATTGCACTCAGCAAAGTATTTACATTCCAGTGTAACATTTACTACAGTAAATATGTACTCTTTAAAAACGCTTTTTACAATTAGTTCTGAGATTTTGGGTTTTTAATTCAAATTTTTAATTTATCCTGCCTACCACACTATGATTATTTGCGTTGAAGTTAGTGGTTTTCATAGTACTGTTTGGAGATTCTGATCATTTGCAGGGTTGTGAAATCCCTACAATGCCAGAATCCAATTTTGTGATGTTATATTTTCCTAGTATTTTGTATCATTCATCCCACAAGGATTAAACTAATCATCCAATTAATCCAGCATCCTGTAGCCACCCAGAAGGCCCCAAAGCCAAAGCCTCTACCTGTTGGTGCTTCCCGCCCAGCTGGCATTCCATTTCGCTGTCAGGGCTATAGCCACTGATGGAGCTGTCCTCCGTGTATTTGCCTTTACAAGGCATCTAAACTAGCAGCCATTAGTATGCATTCAGGCAGTGAGCTCCACGAATTAACTGTGAATTTATGTGAAGAAACATGCCCCTTTTGTATGACCTGCATTTATTGTCCATCAACTTCAGTGGGTGCCCCTGAATTACTGTATTTTAGGGGAAGGGGGGGGATTATCTCTGCTCCCTCTTCCTTCACACTATGCATAATTGTAGGTTCCCTTCCCAGACACCTAGGCTTTCCATACTGGTTGCTGTTTTATATACCTTTTCCAGTTCTATAATATCATTTTTGAGATGTGGCAACCTGAATCCTGTACAGTATTCTAACTGTGGCTGCATCAAAGATCAATGCAATGGCATTATGATACCAGCTGTTTTATTTTCAGTCAGTTTGGTGTGGTTAGGACCGTGGACTCTAATCTGAGAGAACCATGTTTGATTCCCCACTCCTCCACCTGCAGCTGCTGGTGTGACCTTGGGTCAGCCATGGCTCTCTCAGAGCAGTTCTCTCACAAGCAGTCCTCGAAAGAGCTCTCTCAGCCCCACTTACCTCCCAGGGTGTCTGTTGTGAGGAGGGGAAGAAAAAGGAGATTGTAAACTGCTCTGAGACTCCAGGTAGTGAAGGGCGGGGTATAAATCCAATCTCTTCTTTTTCTTCCTGTTCCTGGTAATCTATAGCACATAATTTGACTTTGGCATTGCTGCCACACGCAGAGCAGCCATTTTACATTTGAGCAATTCATTCCAATCCCAAGGTCACTTTGGGATATGCGGCTGTCTTTGGGATTTGAGGTTATCTGCCTCCACTTTGGTGTATCTCCCACTAGACTGTTTTATGGTGGGTACCATAAATCCTTGGACTGGCTGTAGGAAGCTTTCTGTGTAATCTTTTTAAGTTAGGCTAACAATGTGAAATTTGTAAGCTCTGTAAATGTTGTTTTAACTTTGTTTCCATTGCAGGATTGTAGATAATTATGTATTTCTTATAATAACAGGATGGGAAGGGAATGCTCTGGGACAGTTTTAGTACTACTGACTTCCTTTGCAAGTGGCTTTCTTTGGTTCTTGCCCCAGTGATTGATAATCTAATAGTGTTTTTAGAACTGTAATGTTGAAATGCTGGGTTTTTTTTAAAGATTAAGTACAATTGACATCTGTGTTTACCAGATTTTAAAATTGGGATTGCTTCTAAAACGTTGATTGTATGGGTTCTTTAGAACCACCAGTGATGAATGTCTGACATTTTCTGAGGGTCAGGAAGATCCACATCCCCTTATCCCCTGCAAACTCACTCAAGACAGATAGAAATAAGTGACAGGCATGGCGCTAAGAGCCATAGACTTTTAAGGCCACTGTTTTGACTGTTGCAATGTAGTCTGGGCAGTTTGAATAGCCACAAATATGAGAGGAGCTATGGGAAATTTCACATCAGATCCTGGACTGGAGAGGAAAGTGGGCAGTACCATCTCCCTTGGTTTTTTGCTAGGTCTGGTGTATAATCTCAAATAAGGCAATTAATTGGGATCCTTCTTGAACAGCAGAATACAATTGTTGAGGGGCAGAAGGAGAGGAGAATATGCAACAGCTTCTCTTAGAGGATAGCTGGACCCTACGTAGTTGAGAGGCGGTCTGTGGGGAGAGTACAGCATTATTCCCAAGAGGAATTATCTAGGGCATGTCTTGTTCTGGAACAGGATTCCTCGTCTGCTTGGGGAAATGGGTTTAAAATCAAATTGGTCTTGATTTATTATTTGCTAATGTGTTTTTGTATGACGATAATAACATACGACTTAATGCATATGTTATAATGTATAGATAGTCCTTGTTGATTTTCTTCATCTAAAGTATTAAGTTCAAACTTTGCACCGTTGAGTATGTTCATGACTATATTAACAGGCACAAATTTGCTGTTTACAATTATAGAATTCTGATTTTTTATGTCAGATGGATTTGCTTCAGGAATTTTATGAGACAACGCTTGAAGCTCTGAAAGATGCTAAGAATGATAGGTTGTGGTTTAAGACAAACACAAAGGTAATGTGGGCTATTTTGGGTCAGTAATTTTTGCTGCACTTGGGTTTTGGTATTCTAACATATATAAAAATGATCCTGTTCTTTACAGCTTGGCAAACTGTATTTAGAACGAGAAGAGTATGGGAAGTTGCAGAAAATCTTACGCCAGCTCCATCAGTCATGCCAGGTAATGTGTGCCCTGCCTTCCCCTTACTAAATTGTTCTTGTTCAGAAATTTCATCCCCCTGGCTCTTGTACGTGGGGTGCAGCCCCATGTGGCTTTTTTCAAGTCGAGGAAACTGCTTGCGATATCTGTTAGCCACGTTTCAGTGGAAGTGGTCAGGATACATGCCTTGGCACACTTATTCAACCCTTCCACAGTGTTAATTTATAACTTCTGTTATATTTAATAGTTATATTTATGTTATTGCCTGCCTTTCTCACTGGGGCTCACTGGGATTACACAGAGTGAGTCAGGACAATCAATAATATCAATAATAATAATAATAATAACAACGACGACGATGATGATAATAATAATAATATACTTTATTGTCATTGTACATAGTACAACGAAATTAAAGGTGCAATCATTTCGGTGATCTACAACCATACTCATATACACTCACACAACCATTCACAACCATCCCATAACTCCCTTAAGGTTCACATTGCAACTTAAACCACCAATGTCACCCAAATTCCAATTTCATACAGCATTTAAGGCAATAATAGCTCTCGAATAAAAACTAGATGGGACATTCAACAAGATGGGACATTCAGAAAACAGTGAAATAGGACTTGGTGTTGCAGATCCAACCAGTTAATCTGTTACTCTCTGTATTCATAGTAATCAAATACAGTTTTGGTACCTAGCAAGATATCCAGATATCTACCTGAGGAACTATTCAAATTGCTATCCCCATGCAGCAAAGGTTTCACAAAGTATTCTGTAACAGGAGAGCTTGGCAGGCATAGTGGTATTGCAGTTTACAAGGCCTTACCTTTGGTGCTGTAGAATTTTCTGCAGAAATGGAACTTCGTACAAATAATCTTTTTGAAGACGTTTGCATCTGTGGAGTCTCATATGAATGCACATGAAGCTGCCTTAAACAGACCTTTAGGCCATCAAGGTCAATATTGACTACTCTGACTGACAGCGGGCCTCAAGGGTCTTCCACACCACCTACTACCTAATCCTTTTACTGGAGAAGCCCGGAATTGAACCTGAGGCCTGCTCCATGCCAAAGAGATGCTCTACCGTTGAGCCACAGCCCCTCAGATTGGTCTGTAGTGATTACGCTGTGCCAAGGCTGTTTCTGATATGTAACCTGCTCCTTGGGTTGTCCTTGAAGACTGTCCAAACACTGAATCCAGTGCAAACTTGCAGTGGTGCCAACCTCTTGATAAGATGCTCATCTGAACTAGCTGCTTACATATTTCTGGGCCATACAACTGTGATGGTTATGCCATGTAAAGGCATTCCCAGATATTTTATGAAGGTTCTTAGTACAGTCTGGAGCAAACTACTCTTACTATTTTAAATATATATTAATTGGCCATAGATTCAGTGTATCTTAGTATAGTTAAATTTTTAAAAATTTTCAGCCCAAGGTACACTATTTACAGTAGAAATTACACTGTTTGGCAGAACAGTGGAAGACTAAATGCTGTTATTTCATCTGTTATTTATTACATCTGTGCTGAACTACTGCATAAGCCGTGCTTACTCTTTCTGGCTACTTAGTGGACTTTTCCCTCCTAAATAATGTTTGAAGTATCAAAATGTCTTGAGCCAGGCCTGACTAATGGCTTGCAGTGAATGCAAAATACTTTTGATGGTTCAAGATTTAACAATGTTCATTAATGGTGCATAGAGAAGACTGTAATTTTTCCTAGCCCAGATTTTACATTATACATGTTCTTTCTTTTCCGTAGACCGATGATGGGGAAGATGACCTTAAAAAAGGCACCCAGCTATTGGAAATATATGCGTTGGAAATTCAAATGTATACAGCACAGAAAAATAACAAAAAACTTAAAGCACTATATGAACAATCGTTGCACATCAAGTCTGCTATCCCTCATCCGCTAATCATGGGGGTCATCAGAGGCAAGTGGTGTTAAAGTGTCTAGATCTGGCCACTGCAAGTGTTGTGGTGGTAGGTGGGTTAGCTCATCCACATGTCCCATGCTGACAGCTGTCGCATTGGCTGCTTTAGTCAGTTATTTAATTATGGAGGCACATTCTTCATCCCTGTAGCATGCTGGAGTTTGTATGATTCAGGTTAGAGAGTGAAAGTGTCCATGGCAAGGGGGTATTGGTTCTTTACGGGGGGTATAACTCTGTCAAACTGGATATTAATGGCTGTTAAATACTTCTGCATTGTCTGGGTTTTATATTTGTTGTTAATGCATAAAGACAGCTACATTTTACATCTTGCCATTTTTAATCAGCATTTATTGATTTGGGATTCCTTGGATATCCCTCGTAATGTAGCAATAGGAAATAACCTATTATTATAAGTCATAATAGGAAATGTTTTCATATCCATTAAAAAAGAAGATAGGTATACCTCGTAATGTAGCAATAGGAAATAACCTGTTTTCATATCCATTAAAAAAGAAGATAGAATAGAGACTAACATATTTTGTTTTCTAACTGTGTTGGATCAAAACTTACGGAAAAAAATATATTCCACAGACATAAGAATCCTATAATTCCACATTTTTTCCTCATTTGGCAGAACTCCATCTGAACAAATGTATTTATAGAGACTCTGCTCCAACGTAGCAATAAAATGATTGCTCTGGGGAGGCAGTGGTGACTTATTTAAAAAATGAGGTGGATACAATAAAATGAACAGTTTTAAAACCAGTGCAATTATAAACCAAGTTAAACCCTTCTAAATTCATTGAAAGTGATGGATTTAGAAAGGTATAATTCTGTTTAGGGTTGCACTGTTGAAACACTTTTTGTCAGTATTGTTGGCAAATAAAAGATCACTTCTAGTGGTTTGGCCTGTCTCTGTTCCAAAACACCATAGCATGGTAAATGGGCCATTTTAATCTGTAGTGGCAAAGCCAAATCAATAGCATTTACCTTTACTTGTTTTTCTTCCAGAATGTGGTGGTAAAATGCACCTAAGAGAAGGTGAATTTGAAAAGGCACACACTGATTTCTTTGAAGCATTCAAGAACTATGATGAATCAGGGAGTCCTAGAAGAACGACTTGCTTAAAATATTTGGTCTTAGCAAACATGCTGATGAAGTCTGGAATAAATCCATTTGACTCTCAGGAGGTAACATGTGTTGTTTCCTTTCCATATTATTAGCATAAACATTTTAGCTAGTAACTAAATGTGCTTATTGTAGTTTCTGTCCTGTTTAGGCAAAACCATACAAAAATGATCCAGAGATTCTAGCAATGACAAATTTAGTAAGGTAAGAGTCTCTTTTCCCTAAGAGGCAGAGCTAGAAGCATGTTGTACATAAATTATAGTGATTTGTTCAGTTCTTAAAATTATTCTTAAAGGCAGCCCAAACATTTGAATAGCTGTTTGAACATAAGATTTGTATTCCTTGTGAATGATATCAGGAATCCATCACCAAATGATCTATAACTTTATACAGAAATATGTGTTTTTCGGTTAGTCGGATATTGTATTGTTGGTTTTACCAATGTATAACCCTGTGTAAATGGTTATCCTAGTGTACCAACCATCTGAATTGTCCAAATGTTGTAGATGCATCCCTGCACACACAGGCATATGCACAGACACCCGTGCTCATTCCATCTTTGTCTCCAAGCAGACAAATAAGGCTGTGGATATCAAAATCCTTGCAAGTCACTAAATCATTCAGTATCCAAAGAACTGTGGATAGTTCTGCACCTCAGTGGCGCTCTGGGATTGCATTTTTTGAGCAATAATCTCTCCATGCTGCTTGGCATACCTTTTAAAAACAAAAGCAACTTTCAAAAACAGTTAGTGATCTGGTAGATGGGTCTACTGTTCCAAGGGTGTAGGGTAGTCAGATCCGATCAAGTGGCCACAAGCCCTTGATCATGCGTGAAAGTACCTCTTTGAACCCCAGCAGCTGTTTCCTTTAAAAAAAACAAAACAGTATGCTAAATTTCTTTGGATCCTAAGAGAATGAAATACTTTATATAGATATTAAATGTGCTTATCTCTGAGTACAAGAAACCAAATTATGGTGTCTGCTTTATTTTCCAATTGACAAAAATTGTAATTTGGAGCTCTCTGTCTTGAAGTGCCTACCAGAATAACGACATCACTGAATTTGAGAAGATTCTGAAGACAAATCACAGTAACATCATGGATGATCCCTTCATAAGGGAGCACATTGAAGGTACAGCTTTGAAGTTCTTGTGACCTCAGCATCTCCCATCCACATCATCTTTTTTTAATGCTTTCTTCAGTATTGGCAGAATTATAAAAATGTAACCCATGCCCTGTGTTAGTGCTGGTTTTTGTTGTTGTTGTTGTTTTGGAATGTGCAGGGTGGTGGTGGGAGCAGCTGGAGGTGTGACCAGATTACTTACTTTGGAGCTGTGTGGGACAGTAGGGGGAGCTGTGGGAAGGCCTCAAGGGCAGCCCCACAAGTGCTGATTCTGCCATTTACAATTACAGTTGGCATGCAGTCGAACATATAGCACTAAATTAGTCCAGAGTCCTCCTTGCTCAATACCTTGTATCCTTACTAGCAATCTCTAGTATCCTTAGTCAGCGTTTTTGTTTAAATGATCGTTGAGGTCCTAGGCATCCTTGGAAAGCTCATCTCTGCAGTGGACGACACAGATTTGCAGCTTATTTTATCAGCTACAAGAACTGGTGGAGGGGAACAACTAATCACATTATACAAGCATTTAATGCACATAGGGGAGTACAGTGCAGTGAAACTTGGAACTAAGCATTTGGCTTATTTCATATTTAATGGTTATTCATATGATGACTTCCTGCTTTTCTTTTATTTCAGAACTTTTGCGAAACATCCGAACACAAGTGCTTATAAAATTAATTAAGCCTTACACAAGAATACATATTCCTTTTATTTCTAAGGTACTTATAATACTGCCTCCAGAGAGTTTAATTTCACACAATTTCCCAAAAGCATGTATCTTCTTCTTGATATGATACGATAACACCGCATATTATGAGACTCCATTCTGGGAAGACCTGTGTGAACTTTGTGTTAATGGTTTTTGAAAGTGAAGCAAGACTTTCATTATATAGTGTATTTTAATGAAGATGTTTAATAATTGCTGGCAATAGCCAAGTGATTTTGTTTATGGGCAAGGTCTGTACAGAGGGATTCTGTTTAAATTTTAATGGGTTTGACTGTACTTAAGTACTTAGGTGATCTATGGATCTGTTGCAGAGAGGGCTGTGTGTGCGTTGCAATAATGGAGTGAAAAGGGACAGTATGTGGTATTGGTTGCATAATGCAACTTCCTAACAAAAAGCAGCTTTCTGGCTACAAAGATGTGCTTAAACTGTACTTGAAAATCTGCATCCTTGAAATGTGCTTGAAACGTATATTTTATTTTTATTTATTTTATTTTTTCGATTTATAGGACGCTGAGTGAATCACAATTATATGATTTATGTTATGATCTTACAAGATTGGTATTGGTACTAATAAGAAAGTGACCAACTTGACTACCAATGTCACACGGACATTTACTATCTGTTTTTTCTTCCTTAGGAGTTAAACATAGATGTAGCTGATGTGGAAAGCTTACTTGTACAGTGTATACTGGATAAGTGAGTATTTGTTGTCTTCTTTTGCAGAGCCCTGGATAAAGGATTTATTTATAGCACAGGGGAAGTAAACAGTAAATGTCTGAAAATGCTGTTATCCTTAAGTATGTTTATTGACGCTAGGTGAGTCGCAGTTATATGATTTAGGTGGTGATGAGCTCAGAGACAGTAAGATGGGCATCCTCAAAGAACTTTCTTTAGCTCAGGCTCCCTGATGCGCAAAGAAAACGTATGTTCATTAGTTGGTATTTAATAACTGGAAGCATAAAAATAGGAAGTTTTTCCTCCAGTCCACTTGAAGAAGGAAATCCTTACAGTTTCCACCAGTTTTATTCCAACATTGTAATATATGCCAAATACCAGTGAATTCCTTAGCTCCGATTCAAGGGGCATAGCTCCAAAATCACTCTACTAGTGTCTGCCAAAAGTCAGTGAAAACTTGGAGCTGTTCTAGAGCTGGACCACCCATGCAGTGGAGTGAAGAAGTTAACCACAGGTGATACCATTAAATGACACCCAGTTTTAAATTATTTAATGTGTTGGGGCTTTTTTACTGCGATGGGGGGAGGCACCTTTGGACTTTCCTGACCTGGGAGCCAAACTTCATTGGGCTGCAGTTACTTCCTATTTGGCCACAATACAAAATTTCAGTTCAACTTCATTTAGTTTTATTTAAATCGAGCATTGTTTCTGAAACCCTTAGCCCTGAAGCAGGTCCTTTACAACCTCAGATGCTCTTAGCGATTATTCTCCTGAAGCAGTTAATACATTGTAAGAAGGGGGTGTGTGGTGGTGATGGACAGTGCCGTAAAGTCACAGCCAACTTAGGGTGGCCCTGTAGGGTTTTCAGGGCAAGAGACGTTCAGAGGTGGTTTGCCACTGCCTGCCTCTGGGTCACGAGTCAACCCTGGTATTTTTGGAGGTCTCCCATCCAAGTACTAGGCAGGTCACCCCTGCTTAGCTTCTGCAGTCTGACGAGATTGGGGTGCACCACCATAAAATACTGTATCTCTCTTTAATAAGAGTCCCTCTCTCTGCAAAGTGTATTGCAACTACATGAGTGCGATTTTTCATCTTCATTAGTTTTAGACTGTCCACGATTGACTTCTAGTTTGAACCCAGGCCTTCACCAACTGAGAAATTCAGTTCTGAGCCCAAGCAGGCTCTTCACTGTCGGCTTCAATTGTCTCTTCTACCTCTGTATCAACTGTGGCCTGGTACTGACATAACAGCACCCTAACCATGGTTGA